CCCCAAAACCCCAAAACCCCAAAACCCCCTAAGGTAAATTATTTGCAGGAGAGTTTTAGTTATTAATTTTATTAATTCCAATCAAGATACCATAAATAATTAAAATACTTTACTGATTAATTGGCTATACGCAATTAGAGAATCAAATTATTCTCTCTTCATTAATCATAATTATCCTAGGTTTCCATATTTTCTTTATCTTTTACGAATCATCAGTTATCTGATTTTTTCACTGAATTCCTAGATTGAGGTCTTTTCAATGTTTTTATTGTCATGTATCTAATTAAGTTTGTCTAGAGCCTAATCAAATTTCTACTCATATTTGTTAATTCTCTATTCTTCATTCAATTTAGATAAAGATTTATCCTTATGTCTTTATATATAAGTGGAATTTAGAGAGTGAGAGAGCATTCCATCTACATTTTTGCCGAATCTCTCTACAGATCTTTTAATTTTCAGCATAGGGTCTTTGATCTTGTCTAACTCTTTTTAGTTTCGCTCAGATATGATGAGGGTATTTTTGCTCGTTTAGTTGCTTAAGAGAATATTGTTCCTATTATTGATATTAAAATGAAATTTCTTAGACTCATTATCTTTGTTTGTGGCAGATTGAAATCCACCATACTTGGAGTTCTGATTGATAAGAGGCAGATACTAAGTTGAACTGTCTGTAATGATGGGCTTATTATGGAATTTAATAAAGTCGATAGAGATGTTTGCATTGTCTACTGCTACTTAAGTTAAGTTACGTTATGCAGAAACTGGAGCACTATTGTCTTAAGATTAAAAGTATTTGCCATCCAAAGGAGATACATGTATCTGACTAAAGACTCCAGATTAATCATTAATGATTTAGCTATCCTAATTGCTTCTATTTACTGATGAATCCTTTTTCCTTTTCCAAGATGAAATTTATTGCTTAACATTTGACTTAAGCGTCATCGCTTTTTATGCTTTAGTTCTGCTTTTATTGTTTAGTAATTCATTAAATATCGAAATCTCTAGAGATGTATTTAGCTTATCTTTGTCTACAACAATTGTGCCACCTAGATAATTTTCGTATTTTTCCTTGTCTTCTTCTTCAGTTTCCTGCTCCTAGATTACCTGAATAGACTAATTTGGTGAAAGCTGAGATTGATGCCTGAGTTTGACCTAGAGCTTTTGCTTTTCTTGCATTTCCCTTAGTTTCTTGAATCTCTTAAGGTCTTGCTGTTTAAGATTAAGCCTGACTTGTTTAATATTTTCGTCAGTAAATCTTTCATAGTACTCGTATTTTTAAGGTGAAGCATTCATTTCTACAAATTTCAAAGCCAATCGATTTTTCTATATACTAGATAACTTCTTTTGTGTACCGTTTTCGGTCTTCTCTATCTCTGTCAGAGCTATGTTCATGTATTTTAAAGCATTAGCATCTTTTCTAGGGGAGTATTCTAGATCTCCATTTCCCTTATCCATATATATTAGATCATTGATTATGGAGGCGTTTCTCTTATCATTTAGCTCTTTAACATAATCTTCCATTTGCTTTTACTGTTTATTATTATGCTTGCTATCACAAGTACTATGATTAACTCCTAAAACTTCTCTTTCAAACTCCTGCTAAGTTTTACGGGATCTTTTAAACAATCTAACATATAGTTTTCTATTGAAGTTAAGAGGCTCCTGATCTTTGTTAAAAACATAAAGAGGTTGTTCAAGTTAACTAAATGCATGATACTTTCCATCTTTTGAATCCCTTAAAGCTTTCATGAGAGTCATTCGCTCTTTGAAATTCAGCTTTGAATAGTTACTAGCATTTCTTCCCATTGGAGATTTCTTCTCTTCATTATCTTCTTTTGGGGAGGAGGCGTTTGAATCAGGAACGTATAAATTAGTAGATGAGCTTATATTTAGATAACTAATTGTCGGTTATGTTGGATTTTTTTATATTTCCATTACTTTTTTTACTTTGCTTGTTTTCCACTAATAATTAAATAGAATAATATTTATTTAACTTTTTATCATCTTACTAAATTATTTATACGAATGGGGTTTTGGGGTTTTGGGGTTTTGGGG